ATATATATATATATACCTGTGTGTGTGTGTGTGTGTGTAGTTGGTACTATGCATAGCAAAGAGAATGGTCTTTGGGAAATGGATCTGTCATCTCTTAGATCCCCATTTATTTGGTTTATGTGTTAGATTTCGTATGTGTATTTCTTCATTCATTTATAGACACGTAGAGTAGTAGTACTATCGGTTTTGAAAACGTCGCTAGATCTGGTGTCGATCGGTTTGTCATTTTTGATCACACCAAAATGTCTTTTGTATTAGAGGTGTTTGGTGGGTATCACATGTAGTGGAATAGGTTTAACCCGCTTAGTTTTAATCGTACACTCGCACGGCCGTCAGACTCTTTCAAACCTCTACGTACCTAACCTCATAATTGTGTTTGATTAAATGCTTTTTTATTTCTCGCATCACAGCTTTTGTCTACTTACTGAATAATTTGCTGAAAAAATACTGATCTGTACATTTCAAATCTAAATTTTCACCGTGCAACGCCGGGTAACTCAGCTAGTGACTGATAAATTACAAAGCTAAATCTGTGAGCGATAATTAGAGGTCTATTTATAAAAACAGATAATTGGGGACATAGTGAGATTTATGTAAAGGAGTTCACAGAATGGGTAAAGGAAATCACCATTTTAATTCAGCTCCTTATATATGCTTTGCATTTATTAGTATAATGGCAGTATAATAAAATATTACGTTTATGATCTGTGGAAGTAGTCTAATACAAGATAACTATTTTTATTATCCTGCTATAGCTGGATTTACTGTAGAAATGTAAAGGAGATCACATTTATTTCTACACCTGTCTTTGCTAATATACAGAGATGGTATGCATTTCGGTGATGGGTTTCATATCTGTATTTTTAGAATAGATCGTAAACAAAGTCGGCAGCTGAAAAAAGGCAGCAGAAGGGAAAACCTTCTTATAATCTGTATGCTCTTTGCCTTTTTATTCTAGGTACAATATAATCTGGTAAAAGAGAATACATGTGAAAAACAGTAGTCATCTTCATCAAGGTGGGAAAATATGACAGAATGTTGCCCGAGTGCTAGATTTTTGGCACAAGGTTTTTCAGTAGTTATATTTTCCAGAACTGCATAAATCAAACTTATAGGAGAAATTTATTTTCAATATTTTCCAGTTGAAAAATTGACACTTAAGATAGCCTGGCCCATAAACCTTTTGCATTCAAATACAAAACAGCACAACCAAAAAAATGTTTCGTACACGAAGCACGAGACACGCGCGCGAATAAATTGAACCTACAGTTCAGTTACCTACTAGAACAACAATTGACGATACGTTCATGTCTCTGTGATAAGTACATGTTCATCATCCATATCGTCCAGCTCTAAAGTTTCATTGAATTGAGGATAACGGCACCAGTAGTACTGAAAACATGGCTTATAAGGAAGTTAGGTTTCGAGCCAAATTCATCTGAAAAAAAAAAGATAAGTTAAAACAAAAATATAAGCGTTCAATAAAATCAGTTTGTTAATTGCCCATAACTACTCTAACTTTGTAGTTCTGTAGTACTTTGACAGTGTAGTGAGCTTTTACTACCCAAAGCAAACTTGAAAGAAAATAGCCCAACATTTTCCACGCCTTTATCGTACTGTATTCGTTCAGCCTTGTATTTATTATCATTAGGTTACGATCTGTGTACTTTCAAATTCATTGGAGTGGGAATTTTGTGTGTGTGTGTTTATACATGTTGTCTCTTTTGTTAAAGTGAGGTGAAAGTCACAGTATCTGTTTATATTAATATTTTCACGTAATGAAACATTTCAACTAAACCTTACACCGTGCTTTTTTAGATTCTTATGAGTTATACATTTAGGAGTCGTCGAGGGAACAAAATTACACTTGATTGTTAATACTGGTGAGAAACGTATCATTAATTAATGTGTAATTAGCCACTTGGGTATTAATGGTGTTCACCTCGCAGCAAGATATAAATTACAACGATGAAATATTGACTCAATCAAAACTAGAGGGTTTGGGAATATTCAACATAATGAACATCTGGGAGATTAGCGACTTAAAATCAAAAGTAAATGTTATACAGCTTAAAAAGAAGAATTTTCAAAGACAGTTTAGCAGTGTGCACCGGTTGCTACGTTTTGCAGTGGTTAGCGTTTCGGACTTTCTACTAAATCGGTTTAGCAGTGTGCACCAGTTGCTACGTTTTGCAGTGGTTAGCGTTTCGGACTTTCTACTAAATCGATTTACGGTTGTTGTGGTAGGTCACTTTTCGGAAATAGAAACGTCGTGTTTTTGTTTTTTTTTTAAGCAGGGACAAGAACTTCACATTATGTAATGATTACATACACTGCCCAGTTGCTGATCATAAACAATTCTTGTGGTAGGTTACTTTTCGGAAATAGAAACGTCCTGTTTTTTGTTTTTTTTTAAGACAGGGACAAGAACTTCACATTCTGTAATGTCGGAAATAGAAACGTCGTGTTTTTTTTATTTTTAAGGCAGGGACAAGAACTTCACATTCTGTAATGATTACATATAGAAACGTCGTGTTTTTTTTTAAGGCAGGGACAAGAACTTCACATTCTGTAATGATTACATATAGAAACGTCGTGTTTTTTTTTTTAAGACAGGGACAAGAACTTCACATTCTGTAATGATTACATATAGAAACGTCGTGTTTTTTTTTTTAAGACAGGGACAAGAACTTCACATTCTGTAATGATTACATATAGAAACGTC